AAAAAGAAGAGTTGAAGAGAAAATAGTTAACTATATTTAAAGAAGATTTTATCACAAGTTTTGACAGTTTTCAAACAAATCTTCAGTTATATTAAAATTAATTTTCTTGGATTTTGTTTCAGCAACTGCAGCCAAAAATGATGTATGTTTACAGTTATCTGAACATTTATAAAGAGGTTTGAAACACTTAATTATAAAGACTGAATTATAGTATCAGTCCTTGATTTATGGCTCTAATGTTAGTTAACTAATTAGAAATGTAAAGTGTTCCAGTTCATTTACATTCATCTTTCATTAACTGGCTTTTAAGAAGCGATGGGAAATTGCAACTTCTAAAGAAATTTATTTAGCCAGATTTCCTGCCAACTATTTTTTTCTTTTTTCCAAGACATGATTTCCTTGTTAATATATGGGTAAGAGTTTTATAGGTGTCAATAACATAGTCTGAAGTTGAATTTTGGCACCAAGTTCTCTTTAAAGAAGAATAATAGCTTTTGTAAGCAAAAATTGTGTTTCTTTGGTTACTGAACATCAGGAGCTGTCATCCCGTCTCCTTTTTCCCAAAACTCCAAAACCTGCTTTTCCTGTGACATATTTCAAAAAGAGTTTAAAATAGACATCTAGACTGCAATTAATTTATAACTACCCATTAGAAAGTAACTACATCGTTATTTGTTATATTTTAAGCAAAACTGAGGTTCATGGTGAGGGGATGAAGTGCAATTGGCACAAGGTGATTCTGAGAAAATTCTGGATATTGGGAGGGAAAAAGTCATCACCCATGAAGTTGATCAGGCATTCAAACAGTAGACAGAGAGGTTTGGAAAATCTTCAAGGACAGAATTCTCATCTTCACTGGATGAACCCTTGAACAACCTGGCTTGATGTTAAAGTTGTCTGTGTTTTAAAGAGGTGTTTAAAGTGTAACCCTCAGGAGTTAATTCCAACCTAAATTACTCTGTAATTCTGAATTGTCATTAACAGATACCTCAAATAAATATTTAATAATATTTAAGACTAGAAATGAGTTATAAATAAAAAGTTTTATGGGATATGAATGAAAAATTATTGAGTACAGCTGTGTGACTTTTATTTTTCATGAGCTAAGTTTTGATAATTTTAAATATTTCTCCTTATTTACAAATACCACAGAAGTATATTCACTTTTTAGAGCTCAAAGTGAGGAAAGCTGGCTTGGGTTAATTATGCATCCTCTGTGCTACACAATTTATTATTTAAAATCTAAATAGCATTTGTATGTAGTCTGTAAAGAAATTCTTGAATTTTTTCACAGAGTACAACATATCTGCTTGTGAAAATGCTGAGTTGGGTTTCTGGGTTTAGACATACTGGAGATATTTGATCTGTAGATTGTTCATCTTTGATCTGTAGATTTGTTCATCTTCAAGGCTCAAAAAGTATGGAAGAAGGCACAGAATCCCAGATGGGTCAGGCTGGAAGGGACCACTGAGGTCACCTGGTCCCAGCTCCCTGCTCAGGCAGAGCACAGGGCACAGGGTTGTGTCCTGGCACTTCTGGAATGTCCCCAGTGAGGAGCCTCCCCAGCCTCTCTGCACAATCTGTTCACTCTCAGTGAAGAAGTTCTTCCTCGTGTTCAGGTGGAACTCCTTGGGCTCAGTCCCTGCCCCTTCCTCTGGTGCCATTGCTGGGCCCTGGAGCAGAGCCTGGGCCCTGCTCTGCCCCTCCCTGCACCCAGGGACATGCAGAGACAGCAAGGGACAGCCAGGGACAGACAGGGATACCCAGGGACACCCAGGGACAGCCAGGGCTGAGGCCCCCTCTCAGCTGGGGCTCCTCTCCAGGCTGAACAGCCCCAACTCCCTCAGCCTTTCCTGGGCAGGGAGATGCTTCAATCCCTTCATCATCTTTGCAGCTTTCACTGGCCCTGCTCCAGGAGCTCCAGGTCTCTCAGGTCCTGAGGAGCCCAGAGCTGGACAGGGTTCTCCAAATGTGGCTGAGCAGGGCTGAGCAGAGGGGCAGGATCCCCTCCCTGCACTGCTGGAAATGCTCTACCTAAAGCACCCCAGGATGCCATTGGCGTTCTTGGCTACCAGGATGCACTGCTGGCTCAGGGACAGCTGGTTGTCCATGAGGACACCAAGGTCATTCTCCCCAGAGCTGCTCCATCAGGTCACCCCCAGCCTGTGCAGGTCCACAGGTGCAGGATGCTGCATTTGCATATGCAAATAGATCTGCACATGCATATTTCCATATTCCAGGTAGGTTTTTGGGTCTCACAGAAGACTTGAGTGCATGGCCTTCAAATCTAAGGAGCAAAATATGATTAATGACTTGCTGAGAGGTGTAAGATATGTTTGAAAGTTGCTGTATAGGTAGAGAACCTTACACCTATGGCTGTGAGGAAGAGGAGGAAAAGCGAGGCATTTCTGGGACGATTGGTTAGGGATCTGAAACAAACAGCTATTCTTTTCAATATTTTTTTCTTGCTAATTCCATAAGTGGCTTATATAGTTCATTTGGTGCAATTAAAGTCCTGCTACTGCCACGTGAAATATGAGGTTGTGAAAATAAATTTATACAGCTGATTTCTTAAAATCCCAAGCATTACCCTTTGGCTCAAAAGCCCCATTACATAAATATGCACAGGCCTAACTCTTGGAGAAGTCATTTTTAATTTAGGTGCTTGTAAAACAGCTCTGCTTACTGCTGTGAAACACAGACCCTAGAAGATACATATGAGACATTATTTCACATTCTGGCTAATGCAGCATTTTTTTCTGACAAGTCAGCAGTTCCTGGGGCTGGAACAATACGTTATCTGGTTCAAATTCTTCTATTTGTCCTTTTATTAAATAATGGATTTTCATAAATTGCTTGTGTTTATTACTATGTAACTTCTGAGGATTCAGTGAAGTTGTAGATTTCTCAGAGGTTCCTTTCTCCGTATAGTAATTCCTTATGTAGTTCCTTTATCTGAGCAGTCTGTGTGTGAATTGGAAATTTTATTGAGAAATAAGATCTTTTCTATGAGCCTTATTCTGCTGAAATTAAGAAAATATTCAAGTGGAGTTAATCTTTATCTTCAAATAAATCCCTTTGAGCATTTTATGATAAATAGTAAACAGATATAATTTTCAGTATGTGAGGTATGTGTTCATTATGTGTCATGTTCCTAAATTTTAATGTACATTTTGATACACTTGTTGGTTTTGTTATTTTGTTGTTTTTTCAAATTACTTGTATCATTTGGCTTGCACTTGCTCATTGCTCTTAGATGTTAAAAGAAATACACTAATCGTAAAGTTATCAGAACATTGTGAAAATTAAAATGGTTCATTAACAAATCTTATGTGCTTTGAAGTAGGTGTGATTATCAAAAATCAGAAGGCTTTTCCATTTTCAATTCCTATTTAATGATTTTTTCTTTTTTAAAGCTCAAATAACAAGTGCACAGCCTACAGACCATTTTTAGTCCATATGCAATTAGGAGACTTTGCATGATTTCAGCGAAAGGTTCCTGAATTACACTGTGTTGTAAATGTGCCTGAGAATGAGAGCAGGTGATTATTGTTTTTGTATTTCTTACCTTGAACTGCAAAAGGAGAAAAGCAGGTCAAAATATAATCCAGCAGTGACTCAAAACTCATTACTTTTCATGAAGTTTTACTGTGAGAAGAGTAGAAACAATGTGGTTTAAACCTATTTGATATTTAGTAATAAGTTTGATAGATACAGTACATAAGTGTTTAGTAGTGATCATCGTTTGGAATTAACCTTTATTAGAAAAGAGTCTTTGTTTTAAACTAAATTCTTTTTCTAGTAGAATAAAGATATTTTGCTAACCAGTAGACTATTTGGATCACTGAAGATGTTTCCAGACTATCTTCATGTAGTGCTCCCTTTTTAGCTAACACTTAATCTAGCACTTTTTTTCCTGACTAAAAACCAAAAAAAGCTGTTAAAAGATGCTCTACAGAATGGAAATCAGAGTTTTAGTATTTTTGTGTAAATGTCATTATCTAGTAATGATTTCCTTGCAGTCTTAACTTCCTCAATTTTTTAAATTCATGAAATATTGAGGGAATATAGTAACATTTCAGCAATGTAGGCTGCTTATTAAAATAATCAAAATGAAATTATTAATGGAGAACATCCCACTCTGTCTTCAAGAATAAAAAACTTATACCTTGCATATGAATGTCCTGAAGAGCCAAGACATTTTAAGAATATTTGTGGAAAAATAATACTGCTTTAGCATGGGATGGTCTGGGTTGAAAGGGACCTTAATATCATCTTGTTCCAAGACCCTGCCAGGGGCAGGGACACCTTCCACTATCTCAGGTTGTTTCAAGCCCTGTCCAGCCTGGCTTTGGAGACTTCCAGGATCAGGGTCAGCCACAGCTTCTCTGGGTAACAAGGTTATGAATTTTTATATAAATATATATAGATATACATTTTTATATATATATATATCTGTAGATATACATTTATATATATACATAACATACACATATGTGTATATATATATATATATACAAACATACGTATATATATTATTATTTTTTTAATGTGTATATATATTTCTCTAATATTTACTTTTTTAAGGATTTGGTTGTTAGTTGCTCCAAGAATGTTTTGATAATTCTTGTGGTCACTTCCAACTAGGTATTCTATGATAAATTATTTATAGGAAACACTAAAAAACCTTCTACTATCGCAGGTTGCTTCAAGCCCTGTCCTGCCGAGCCTTGAACACTTCCAGGGACCCAGGGGCAGCCCCAGCTTCTCTGGGTAAAAAGGTTGTTAATCTATGTACATACATATATACAATATTTACTTTTTTCAGGAATTTGGTAAATAACTGCTCAAGAAGGTTTTCATAATCCTTGCGACCCTTTCCAACCTGGTATTCTATAATAAATTATTTATAGGAAAGACTAGAAAACCTCTCCAAAGGCATTGAAAATGCCAAAGACCTGCGACCACTGACCATTTTCCCATTTTCCTTTTCCCTCCAGAACAAGATCATCCTGGACCCGATGACGTTCAGCGAGGCGCGGTTCCGGCCGTCCCTGGAGGAGCGGCTGGAGAGCATCATCAGCGGGGCGGCGCTCATGGCCGACTCCTCGTGCACGCGCGACGACCGCCGCGAGCGCATCGTGGCCGAGTGCAACGCCGTGCGCCAGGCCCTGCAGGACCTGCTCTCCGAGTACATGAACAATGTAAGTCACACCGAGGCTGCAGCTGCTTTAATGTGTCTCAGAATTTTTGTGCTTTGTGCTGAGTGTAGGGGTGGTGCTGTTTGAGTTGTTGAGCTTTTTAATGCGCTGCAAGTGTTTGACGGCAGTTGGGTGCGATCAGAAGCTCGTGGCGGGTGGTGTTGTAGCTGCCAAGGAACTCTGTGCTCCCTGTGAATTTGGCATTAAAGTTTCTTCTTATGTGATAACTAGCAGTTCCTTTAGAAGGAGAATACTTTTTAAAATGAAAATAATGGTGAGTAATCTAAATGCGAAATGGTCCAAGGATTATTTTCTTATTGAAGGTGAATATGGGTAATTTTCAGCATGCTTGCCCTTGCAGGATGGTCATTGTGTTTGATTTTTAGGATGTTGCCTATAGATATTCACAAGACTTTGACTTTTTGGTATGTGGGTTAAACCACTGAAGGTTTCGTTTTCCGGAGGAGCTATGAAATACTAAGTTGCCATGAAAGCAGTGAGTTCAGCACTAGTGCTGTTCGCAGTTTAAAAACAACTCTCTGGGTCGAGTTTCCAGAGGTGTTGGATTGTTCAGTGTGGTGTGAACTGGCAGTGCATAGCCTTTGTTCTGCACAGCTTATCCCAGAAAATTCTCTCCACCCAACGTTGTGTATTAAAACTCAGATGCTCTATTGCCATGTCCTTTTGAGGATGTGGGGAAAAGACCAAAGCAACATCAACAATCTGTTTTAAAATTAAAATGTTTGCCAAGAGGGGTCAAACTGGGCATCCTTTACTTTTCTTTGGTTGCTCCCAGAGTATCCAATGACACATTTTGATCCCATTTTGCTGTAATCATCATCAAAATAATTCTGAAGAGGGTGTTCAAGGATAGACCTTTAGCGTTCTTATTTTCATTGGTACTGTTACAATTGTTAGAGTGAAGGAATTCAGTGTCAACAGTGCAAATTTCAGTCCTTTAGTCACTTCATTTTACAGTTCAGGTTTAAATGTTTCTTTTCAAAGATACTGTTCCAGGTAATCGAGTCACCTCAAGGAATAGCTGTTTGAATTGAAAAGCATTATTTGCCTCCTAGTTTTTTGAAATGATGGTTGACAGGTTCTTGTGAAAGCTTGAATGAATGTGAAGTTTTTCTGCTGTGTTTTGGGTTAGAAGTTATAAAGGAGAGCATTAAATACCAGGTTTGTGAGGCTGTGGTGGAAAAGAACTTGCTGGGTTTCTTCCTACAAAATCTTGCTATGTAGAAGCAATACTGGTGTCATCCTTAAAGGTATTTTGAAAAAAACTTTGAGAACTGATGAATGGTAGTTTCTCAATTTATTGTAGTGCCTCTTTTTCAGTACACAGAGTTTTGGTAATGGTGCAGTTTGCCCGTGGACCAGAAACATTCTTGTTTTATTTCTGACTGCATTTACAGAGGGAGGAAAGTTTTAAATTCCTGCAGGCATTTATGACCACTCTGTAGGTTGCTAATATCATTTCATCAGTTTTATTTAAACATAATGGCATGAGCAGCTGCTTTTATGGTTTCCCACGGTATGGTTTTTGAAAGTCTTTTTTTTTTTTCTTTTTCGTGTCCTTATTCTGTTTTCCCACGGTATGGTTTTTGAAAGTCTTTTTTTTTTTTCTTTTTCGTGTCCTTCTTATTCTGCGTTGCACAACCCCTGTAATTTTTTTATTTTTCTGCTTTATAATGAAATGTAGTCAGCTTAAGTAAGATTTTTTTTTAATATCTATTCAGTAAACATTATAAAAACTGAATAGATATGTAAATTACATAAAATGCAGTACTTCTGATTTTAGCAGATCTGGTGTGGTAGAATTTGACAATGATAATTTCTAAACTGAAGTTAGCAGTTGCAAGGGATGGGATTAAGATTACATATTACTGTGCCTAAATTTGGGTTTTTTATACATAGGGACAGGTAAAGTGGGGGTGTCAATTCAATTCTTTAAGGCTGGATGTAATTTTAAGATACCAGGTTAAAAAAATCCAATGCTTGTTTGAGCATTGACTCCTCAATCTGTCCCTCCAAGAAATTTGAATCCTCCATGGGTCAACTTGTAGCTGCCAGCCAACTTCCATGTCATGTATGCTCTAGGAATGGACAAATTGCCAGATTCCTTCCTTCATAAATTATTTGAGCCTCTGTCGCTTAAGCTGCAGTTACAATTGTCAGAGACCAGATCAATACTGGAGATAGATCAATATGGCCAACAGAGCCTGAAGAGCTATTGAGATGGCAACTGTTATAATCTAATATGGGCAGGGGGTAAGTTAAATATCTCTAGACTTCTCTGATATATTAATTAAGTCTACATAGCCAGGACAGATCAGATCCTGAGCTTATAGGCAGCTCCTGCTATTTAAGGGTTTAATTTCATGCATTCTGTTCTGGCTTTGGTACTAAACCTATTTCCTTGAAACCTGTGGATTGATTTTCTTGGGTTCTCAAAAGTTCTGAGCATGTTCAGTATAACAAAAGATCTCACTTGGAAAGTGTTTTAAAGGTTTCATGAGTTTCAAAAGGGCAAAAGTGAATGGGACACACCAAACATGACACAGTCCTAAGTCTGATCAAGGTTGATTTTGCAGAGATGCACATCTTTAACATCTTCTGCCTGTGTGGCTTTAAACCACTGCAGTCCTGCTCTTGCTTTAAAGACTATGAAATTAATCAGTCGTTCACATTTTTGCATTTCTTCTGTTTGATGATAGCTGAAAAATGATGATTTTTTTGGGATGGGTGTTGATCAAAATGAGCATGCAGCAAAGTAAATACTTTGTGGTGATATTTAAAGATGCAGATAATGAAGGGCAGGGTGTTGGCAATGTGCTGTTCAGACAATGTTAGTTCAGTCCTTCTCCAGCTTAAAACAGTTCCTTTTCATTCTTCTACTTCTATGATTTGGGTTCAGAGGGGTCCTTCTTACAAATCTTCAAGAGCTGATGGAAAGGGCTATGAGTTGAAGAAAAAGTAGATTCTTTCAAAATTTTGGCATAAGTAGATACTTTTCAAAAATCTGAAAAGAAAAAGTTGGTAGAAAGGAGGAGAGGGGAGATTTTGACTTAGGTAAGTGAAAATGGTGCTGCTTCTCCAGTTGTATTATTTAGTGTTGTAAAAGATGTATTTTGGTTTCTACTTCATCCTCCTCAGATAAATGTTGATTTGCTCCATTCCCTATGTTCAAATAATGTTTTTAATTAGTCCCTAGGCTCTTTACTAGCTCTGTGAATAATTATATATTTGTATAGTTACTCATTGACCAGAGTCTCACAGTACCTAGACCCTCTGCAAGGGAGATCCCTGGGAGTTCTCTGCAAGAACTTCTATGGAGATGAGATGTAAACTGCTTCATTATTCTTTGTATATCCAGAAATATGCATATTCTTCATTTGCCTTATCAGTAACTTTGACAAATTATTTTCCAGCTTGGTATCTATTATTTCTCTCATGAACTCATCTGAACTTTAGAATCTGTTACTTTTGGGAAGCAAAGGCAAGAGAGTTCTCAGTTTGCTGTGTCATATGACTTTCTTTTTTGCCAGGGTCTCAGAGAGAATTGATAGGGTATTTTTCAGCTTCTTATGTATATGTGATAAATCCAGTAATTTATTTCAAAATAAAATTATGTTTCTAGACTTCTCTCCTACAGAGAAGACCTAAATGCAGCTCCACAGAAGCTCTTAATGCAATTGTTTTCCATTTGTCTAAATGAAAGCCTTATTTAATGGATGGTTAGCTCTGATGGGGATCTAGTTTCCTGCTGATTTTCTCTCCTGGATCCTTCATGGTTTATATTGCAGGCTGTCAGGGAGCAAAAATACCAGGAACCTGGGAGTTCCAGCTCTGAAACTCCTGGCTCAGAAATGTGCTGCCAAACTCAACCCAGTGCTGGGCACCCTTTCTAGCAAAACTGGGTGCTGCTGGGTTGATGTCTGATTAACATAAGAAAAAGAGGAAATTATATCTTTAGAAAAATATGCTTAAAAAAGGATGCTTTGAATTCCCTCTGACATCATCAGATTCAGTGCCAGAGACAGACTGAATTTTTTGTTGCTGGGGTGTATCAATGATAAATTTGGAAAGCAATTGACAAGTGAGTAAGCCATGAGTGTTAAAGACCTCTGTAATCACTCCAGTACTGGCTTGGCATTAATTCAAATCTGCATTTGAAAAGGCATTTCCCAGCTGGTTCAAATATGATTTTCTCCTCTAAAGCCTTTGGGCTCATTATTAAGCCAGCTTGCATTCTCCTGCCTTGCTTTCCCTCTTATCCAGTGTTCCTGCTCCCAGTCCCTGCCGACATTCCAGAGGAGCTTTTCTTTTTTAATTATAATTGGTTTTTTGGGACAGATAATATTTCTGTGTGTCTGAGTGGTATGATCAGTCCTTAATGGAGTCTTGTATTACTACTGATGATTTAATGTTTAGATGTGAGTATTACATCTGAGAACTAGATTTTCCAGAGAGGCTGTGGAATGTCCCTCACTGGAAATATTCCAGAACCATCTGGATGAAATCCTGTGTACTGTGCTCTAGGAAGACCCTACTTTACCATGGGGTTAATGTTTGCTCTTTGAAATCTTACTCTCTAAAGTTACCGCCTGTCCGTGATACCTGCTCTCTCCTGAGTTCCTATAGGTCCTAATTTGTGTTTCCTATAAAGAAGAAAATGTTATTTCTTGAAACAACAAAATAGCAGAAAAACAAATGAGAAAGCCCAAGCCTGCTGGCAGCTTCTCTTCACAAATATATCAGTAAAAAATTGGAATCGCTCAAAGGAAAAACAGAGTGCTGCAGTACATGAAGATGAAATGTCCTTAGCAGACAGCTGGTTATTGTGCTTGATTGGAGAACGAAAAACACGATAGCAACTGAAAAATCTATAAACTCTCAAGATACTGCCAGCTGTCACATTGAACAGCTTCATCTCAATTCATATTTAAGATCAGCAATAATTGGTGTGTACATTTCAGCTCTGGAGCTGACTCGCATGA